CAAACCGTTAATTTCTTTTTTTTCTTTAATAAAATATTTATCGTAGTTTTTAACTGTCGGCTATTTGATACGGATGTCAGAAAACCCGTTATAATTAAGGTGCTTATTGAGGTAGCTAAAACTTATTTGTATATGTACTTTCTTTTTGCTTTTGCTGAAGAAAAAAATAATGCTTTTAGTTTTTATTGCAAAAAAAAGTTTTTGTTTACGGAGAAGAAGATTAGGCAAAAAAAATTGAGAAAAAGAAAATGATTGCAGAAAGATGGAAAAAATTGAGAAAATGTTGACAAAACAAAAATGCAAGGATTTGACGAACGACAATTTTCAATGGATACGATAAATGAGCAACGATCAATTTGAATTGTTCAACCAAAATACCGTTTCTTCCTCCTCTCCCTTTATCTCCTCTGCTCAAAGAAAATAAACAAAAAAAGAATTAAACTAAACTAAACTAAACCCACCCCTGAACGTTATGCTTTTATTTTTAAGCGTTAAGTTGATAGACAAAAAAAAAAAAGTGAAAAAAAGGAGAGAAAACAAAATTAATGATTATTATCCGTTTTTATCATTCGTATCCAACATTCATTTCATTGCTTATTTACATCTGAAAGAAAATGCTTGCCTACCTTTTCATCAACTATTTCTGCTTTTTTTCTTAACAGTCATCAATCACCATCATCATTATGCCTTCTGCGTTCTTCTTCTCCTCATCCTTCTTTTTTTTTTGCTACTATTTGCTTTGAACAGAAAAAATAATCCAGAAAAAAAATAAACGAAATTCGAAAAGTCCAACAATAAATTTCGAAAATAGCCAAAAAATGAATAATAAAGATAAAAAAGAGAAGTAGAAGTTAACATCGAAGAGTGCGGAACGACGACGACGACGGCAACGACGACGATGAGACAACGAAAAGGTACGAGAAGAAAGCAAAAGGGAAAGAAAAATTGCATAACAAGGCAATAACTTTAAACAGATCAAAGTCTTCAGAAGTTATACAAGAATAAAAAAAAATGATCCTAAGAAGAATGATAAGACCAAAAAAAGGAAAATCTTAGAGATAGAAAGAACATTTCAAAGGCTAAGATATAAGAAAAGTCTTTTTATCGGTTTTTTCAGTTTCCCACTTTTTTTTTGCATCTTTTTTTTCTATAACATTACTGAAACTTTCAAAAGTTTTTCGTTTTTTTTTCTTTGCTACTGTACTACAAGCAGATTTTTGACTGCAGTAAATACGTTCAGTTTACTGTGTGTATCAATGAAGTAAAAGCAAGAAAAAAAAAA